AGCACTATGGGAGACATCGGATATTAGGCTGGAATTGAACATCGAAGGTATTAAGATTGATTATTATCCTCTCCCCTCCCTTCCCTGGCATGTTTCCAGGTTTTCGCTGAAATGAACGGGATTTTATCCGGTTTCATATAATTAGGGCATCTCCTGCAATATTGAGGCCACTGGAATGCACTGGAATGGTGATTCTGTTATAAAGATTTACTGCCGCTCATAGGTCAGGCATTGTTTGTTACTGAGGTGCTCAGTCCCGTCGGCGTCTCCCTGCATTTATCTGTTCCGCTGCCACCCCAAGCATTTGATACAACGAGCTCCTTTCCCTCCCGTCTTCAATTTGTATAAAAGGTCCATTTTCACCTCCTCTCATAGTGAATTTGATACCTGCCTTCTCCTTTTTAATATGTTGAACGTGTTTGAGGGGAAAATCCCAAACGCATGTTAGGTGCCGCGATTGGACTTTTAAAATTCGGTTATAAGTCACCGCCAAAAACATGTCGCCTAGCAGTTCGATTTCGCCAATGTACTGTTCATCAAGGTACTTGCCGTTCTCGACTTGCTTGAGCCACCATTTCCCCGTCATCCTGCCGTCCTTGAAGTATGTAGTAAACTCTCGGAGGAAGTGCACTAATTCTAGTTCGTTAATAACAGATCGCCCTTGACCTAGGACGCATTCCCTCAAAGCTTGGTTGTTGATAAGAATGCATTGAGTAATTAAAGCTTCGACAATTTCCTCAGGAACACCACTTTCAATGAATTCTGTTCGCAACGCAGTAAAAGTCGTTCTGAGGTGGTTAAGCTTAGCCGCTTCTTGGTCCAAACCAGTATCATTGATAATGGCATTGATAGATTCATCGGATTTAGATCTGATAATGAGGAATGGCTGCCTAATGCGAAGACAGTTCTTGACGGTTTCGATGTCGAGCTGTAGCCATGGGGGATCTGTGAGAAACTTGAACATGGTGGTAGAAATGGGCAGTCAATTACCTGACCTAAACGACCAGAGTGAATCACTAGGAGAAAATCAAATAGATAGAGTTTTTGGTTGTTGTAGTAATCCTCTATCGGTGCCCTGCGAGTGCCGCCTCCAGGTAAATCATGGAGAGTTGTTGTACAGATGCTTTCGTGGGCATGGTAAGTTGATCTTGTTTGTGTCGTCTCTGTAGTCCCAGTGGGGGCCGCTCCCACTTGACTATTTTGAATTCCTCGGAGTGCGTTGATGACCGATGACTTTCCACTTCCGCTTTGGCCACACACTGCAATATGGATACGCCCTTTCTCGAAATTCTCTTTGGCGCGGCCTTTATTGATAATCGTCGGATCAAGCCGCAGTGGTGTAGCATCTGTGGACCCAAAGACCCACAGAACGCCATCTACTCCTAGGGCCACAATATCTCCAGCTACACAAGCTATCGAGCCGGTCACAATGATTAAAGTTCCTAGCACAT